CCCCCTTCACTTCAAAATTCCGATGCCGAGGGCCAAGGCTAACGCCAAATTCGTACTGCATTGAATAGACTAGTGACTAGTATAATGTTATTTGTTTAATTATTGTACGATATAACGAATAAAATATCTAATTATTCTTAATATAATGTTTTACTATATCGCCCAGAAAATTGTTTTTCGCCCCCCAAAATATAAATTGTTACTAATCGCCCCCTCAACATGGAAAATTGCCCCTGTTGCGAAACACTGCTGTAGAGCATACTCGTATGAGCAAAAATGTCAAAGGAACCGTACCGCTAGGCCTACGTGTGATCTTTCACAACATGTAGCCTCCGAAATCGGTCTACTTTGTACTTCTGCAATTTTTAGTTTTTTATTGGCAACATATCTTATAAAGTCAGTTCAGGTAGATATTGTGCAGTGGTTGGTTGCCATAATAGCCAGGAAGGTCTTTATAGGTGGTTTGAAGCTATATGCGATACACATAAAGACATGATGCATCAGAATTGTTTGTGTATTCAACCATTTGTTACATTCATTTCCACATAGTGAAAATTTAAGAAGAGAATGGGTAACCAGCCATGCATGTACTGTACATCCAGCTACACATATAGCTTTGCTATCATTAGACACACAAGTCCATACAAAATTGCTGCATTCAGCAGGATCAACAGTTGTAACTGAGCAAATGTATTTCAATTGGTAGCTGTTATGTAGTTACATCTGCCGAATGATGAGTGATGTATGTGTTGGAACAGGAAGCAGCCATCGTTGATCAATTGCAGTTAACGATAGATAGCTTAAATGAAAGATGCTACTAAATGTGACGTGAAAATGCCAAACATGTTCTGAAACAGTGCTACTGTACAGGGCGTTCAGCAGAAAAATACCCAACAGATCTGAACTGTTGAGTCTGCTGAATGCAGTCAATGATTACTTGCAAATAAGATTTGTGATGGCTTTACCTTTGTCTTAAGGACACAAATGTTTTGTGACAATTTATAAATTAAAATTTCCCCTACTTTACCACTTGAAAAATAATTATAAGAGTCAAAACTCCTATAATTAATCATTTCTCGATAATCATAAGTTTTACTTTTAATAAGGTAAGCTATTCAAATGTAGCTGGATATTCTGAAGGTGGCCATTCTCTCATGTTATTATTCCATGATTTTATAGTACTAATTGATGAAAACAACTGTCCAGCTGAAAATAAATTAGAAAATACAAGTTTGAAGAGGAAACTATACAAAAATCCAAAAAACTTTGCATTGGTGTTAATCTATACTAATATTATAAAGAGGACCTCTTACCTTTACAAGAATTACTACATGTTTGCAAACATTATAAATATATTACAGAATGTTTTCTTTATTCTCATAGAAATATCACANTTCTTATGAAGTTATACTTCCAATGTTTAATTGCCTTATATGGGTGGCATAACGCATAGCTTAGGATGTATGTAGGAAAGCCGAAACCAAATAATACAGGGATCACATTGGCTGAGGCTTTTTTAAACAATCGAATAAAGTCTGAATGAATCATGACAAAATGTTTATGATGTTGGTCAATCGTACGATGATCAAAACCTGATTATAACTTACATCATCTTTATCTAATTGAAATATCTTCGTTTTGATTTGTCATAAGGAATCCGGATTGGAATGTTTCGAAACTTCGCGATTTTTCACGGTAGTCAAATAAGAATTTTATTTTCCATTTCTTATTAATTCTAGTTAATTCCTTATAAAGAACAAGCAGACTCATAATATCCATAGCGCATGTCGGCCGTATGGCAGCTTTACTCCTGCTTATCACACTAGGAAGCATGGAATCAAATCTAGCAGTTTCTATGAATTCTATGTGAATGAAGTAATTGTCCATATAGTATTCTACATTTTGTGATAATTACTGGACTCAGCAAAACTATTCCAGTACTGTATGAGTCTTTAGATGGGCGGAATGCCGCGCGTATGTTAATCTCTGCCTCTCAACTTGGATCGACTCTGGCACATCAATGGTTCTTTCAAGCCTCAGATGTATAAATACGATTAAATATTCATATAATTTGATTTTGTTCTCTATGGATAATTTATAACCAATTTAATTATTATCAATTCAGAGATAATAACATTATAACAGGAAGTATTTATATACTAAAATAGTAAAAAAAATTAATTCATGCAGGATCTTTTAATATGTAAATACTTCTAATTCATAGAAATTTTTAAATAAAAACTGTTTAACAACTTTTTTTTACTACTTTAGGATTAATTAAACAAATTCATATTGGATAAAAAATATATATATTAATTATTTTCGACTAAAATTTCTTATCTGAAGTCATTTTGACGTCCTAATATTTAATGGTTGTTAGGGGTTAGTCGATGTAATACCTGAAGGATTGATTGTATCAAAGAAAGCAATGTTATAGAAAGGCAATGGCCGAAATTTCCAATATTTTGTCAATTTAGAAATACACCAGGGTAATCTCAATTCGCTCGGAGACTTTTATAAAAATAGACTTTTGATAAATCCAATAGTACCTGTGAACGTAGTCATTGTTGGAGTTCTATCATCAATACCAACAAAAATAACTTGTAAGATATCAACAAAGAAGACTTTGCTATTTTTATTCTACTTATGAAAAACCTAGACAACTCTATTCTCATTCGATTCTATATTTTTCGCAAATATGACCGTATAGATTAGCCACACATCTGTAAACATTTATGTTATGAGTAGCTTCGTGTCATCATCGATTTCGACTTCTCTGCCTTCGTTTAAAGTTATGTGTATTGCCTTCCATTAGAGTAATTAGGTAATTCGGTTTGGATACGTTAATGTAATTTATCTTAAATTTAAAATCGATTTTTAAAGAATAAATCATTATACAGTATATCCGACAACAAATATATTTATTATACGGATTTATAATTATTTTAATGGTTTGAATGAATTATAAACTACTGTTTTGATAGCATATATTAAAAAATTTGATGAAGGTATTTTTAAATATATAAGAATTTATTAAATATAAATAAATTTAAAATATTTTTTCTGGAATTAATTTTACTGGCGTCTTATATCCTAGCAAACTAATAATATTACTTCTTTTATAGTTTTTATTGCTTATAAACACGTGCAGATACTAATAAATATTGCTTGTAAGTTATTTGGTATGTTTATAAAGCAATAAAAACATTAAAGAAATAAATACAGTTTTTATGTTTAGTTAAATATAAACCTTGTCAATATTTAAAATTAATCAAAATATTTATATATATAGTTTAAAAAACAAAATTTTAAATTTGAATTTTATTTTGGAAATTTTAATAAATACACACAATCAAACCTCTGAACAACTACCACTGAAGAAAGGTAAAAATGATCTTTTATAATGAAAAAAAAAGAATTTATCTATACGATATCATTATAAATGTCGGCATTAAAAAGGCAAAATATTTAAACATTTTATCAATTTTTTTTTATTTTCAACTGAAGATAGAACTACTCTTCAACTGATAAAATGTATTGATCCAGATCTGTGTTTACGTTTATCAAATTGAATTTATATGATTATTTATTTATTTTTTCATGCTTTTTTAAATTAAAGAAAGTCTATATAAATTCATATTTACTCAAGAATAAAATTTTCAACTTAATTATTCATTTATGCAAAAAAAAAAAGAAGAAAAACTTCTTTAAAAATCAAAATTAGTTAATAGATAAAAACGTATCCACTTGATATGAATGATTATTAATCTGTAGATAAATACAACCTTCAAACAAGGACACATAATCTTTTATTTACATAAAATCATTAAAAATGATCTAAAATTGGTAAGATGAATATAATATAAAAGTAAAATTTAATCATTTCCAGATTAAGATCAAATGTTTTTATATCAAACACATAATTTGCAAATTGTAGGAAGATGTAGATTCTATTCATAAATAAATCCAAGAATTTGAAATAAAATATGGTACGAGATTGATTCTAAAATGGATATCGAAGATATATGTCGTTGAAAACATGCAGGACATTGACATCAACGTTTGTCCGATGCAGACAGACAGTGATGAAAGAAGCTGCCTGTTAACACAGAGAAATAACCGATTAAAACTTCGTTAATAGACTAGACTCTATCTAAATGCAAATATGAAACCTTGTACAAATGTACATATTTATTAATGCAGCTTATTCAGTTTTTTTTTCTTTTTTTTAAGTTAAAAANGTTGTTTACGGATACTGCCACAATTTTTATAGGAATCATAACTATAGGAAACGGTTTTATAGGGGGATCTACTGTATTTAATAAGACAATATTTTAACAAAGTTTAAACAATATAATTAATATATAACTTACATTAATTTATTTCCTATAGTTGACTTAGAGATTCAGCATATGTTAAGTTAAATCTCTGCCTTCTATTTCCAGGTGGCATTGTTATGAATAAGAATAGGTTTACATTTAGTTACAAAATGTATTGAGTTAATTTTCCCATTTTATGATAATTTAAATTGTTTTATTAATATATTAATAATAATACTGATTGAAGTAAAATGTTAATTATACTATTGCTTTAATTGATTAAAATTATAAAAATTACAATCTAAAATAACAATATGTTTTTTTCAGGAAATTATTGAGTTTCCTGTTTTGAAAGTAGATGGAAAAAACTTTGAAATTCAGTCGGTATTCCATGAATATGTTCAGCCTGTTGTACATAAGGAATTGCATCCATTTTGCATTGAAGTAAGTAATAAAATAATAGAAAGATCTCTATTCTATTCTCCATTAATGTATTATTTTGTTTTTAGCATGGATGCATATACAGTAGAGCATCAATTATCTGAATATTGATCAACCAAAACGCCAATTAACCGAAAGCTTTCCAGTCAGCAAATTTAAATTTCCACTAGTGCTGTGACTCTGCAATCTTTGGCTATGTCTTGGACTACTCCAATATTATTTTTGTTGGTGTGCATGTTTTAGTTGGCAGCACTGGTACTTAAGGACATGCCAGGATTTGAACGAATTTCAACATGGGATAGGTTAATATAGTTTTTCATACATAATCGGTTATCCAAAAGATCGATTTTCCAAACAACCCCAGTCTCCAATTGATTCAGATAATTGATGCTCTACTGTATATATAAAATCCATCTATAAAATTAAATTTATTATATATCTCATAAATTGTAGTATTACAAACTCGTAATTATATAATAGAGAATAAGAATTTGCTAGAATTGTTTTATTTCATAAATTGTTTATATTGCATTCTGAAAGCTTGTAAATTATGATCTACATAGTTGAATTTTTTATTTAAAATAATTTTTAATTAAACATTCATATGTTTTAACAGAAATTGAAAAAACTATAAAAAATATTTATATATTTATGTGATATTTATATAATGTACTGTACTATACATAGTACAGTAGACCCCCCTATAACGCGGGTTCATATAATGCAGATTCGTATATCGCAGCGAAAAAATTGCAACCATATTTGTATAAAGACGCTAAAAGAGACTCGTAAAATGCGGTAAAATGTCATTGCCAACTTGTGTCACAACAGGATTGGTCAAATCTGGACCAAT